TATGCCAAATTAGAACAAGCACAGATTACTATCATCCATCATAACCATCATCTCATATGGATCAAAAAGGGATGATGATTACCTTCGTCAGAGCCGAGTCGGGGAATTTCACTGGTTCGTCTTTCCTCGGATCGTACAAGTTCAATTCGACCACTACTTCTTCACCAGATGGTGTCCTCTCATCCTTGAACGTCTCCTTGAAAAGGAGATACGGCGTCGCCGTCGTGGATAGTGACCGCCGGAATTCACTGAAACAGAGTCCATGCTGCTTCTTCACAATTGAGGATGATGAGAGCTTAGCGATTCGACCCAAAAGCTAAGACATTTTTGAAACAAAATCGAAAACACTAAACAGCTAAAACCCTCAAAACCCATATCCCTCTCTCTCGCTTCATATACCTCTTTCACTTTCCCAAAATTTATCCATTTTTCGAGTTAACCCTAAATTTCCATTTTTGCTCCTCCTACCTTTATTAATGGCACAAAACGGTTCATCTGTTTCTTTATTGAATAAAAGAGGAAATTTGGAAAAATATCTCTTTTGTGTTTTTAAATTTGAAAAATATATCATTTTGTTTCTTTTGGAAAATATACTATTTCTATGTTAAATTTACTAAATTAACCTTAATAATACTGAATATATATTTGTGTAATTTTTGAATTTTTTGTGATGTATTATTGTAATCTCGATTTTCTTGTTAGAAAATATATAATTATCTTAAATTTTGATGTTATCAAAGATTTGGTATCTACCATTTTGTTTAACTAAACTATAGGACTTTACGAAGATTTTTAATTCTAACTATGATGAAACTTTGAAGATACAAACATGCAAATGTTACATAATTTGCTCATGCTTCTTCAATATTAGTCTCCAAATATATTACATCTCTCCCTCTCTCTTTGTGGCTTGATATTGAAATATATGGGATTCCTTCTTCTGCTTGGAATGAGTAGTTACAGAACCTCAATTTTTGTGGTAATAATTTTTAATGGGCAGAGCAGTTTTGTGGCACAAGCCTCGCCGATAAATATGTATTGAAAAATTATATAAAAAGGTCATTCTTTTATCAGACAACATACATAAACAGAGACCAACTAAATTAACTAAAATTGTTATCTTGTTTGTGATAATCACTATGGTGAGAAAAAGCATGATGATCCATAGTTTGTCACGTAATGTCATCATCATGTTGTGGTTACTTCTTGGAAGATACGTATTAATTGGACCTATTACTCAGATTTGTTTTGTTTGTTTCATGTAAACAGTAAGAAGATCCCCATGATTCAATAGTGTTCGTTACATCATAAGTGGTGTTCCTCCATCACACAGATTAAAAGAATGTTTTCTTAATGCAATAAATTCCAAGATTAAATTATAATCGTAGCCTCCTTAATTACTTATGTAAAAACAAAAGGATACCTAAAGACAAATACCGTAC